TTTTCTATACTATTTTACTTGAGGGAAAGGTGATGAACTTACTGTCTTCGTAATAGTGGGACGGAAATGTATTAATATGTAGATTACTATCTTTTACGCCGCAGCTTGAGTTACGTCATAAGTAGTCAGTAAAAGTAACAAAAACTGTGTATTGATTTGTTTTGGAGACCGTCCTTTCTCTGTCAATATTTGAAATCGCAGTTTTTATATCTCTTTGCATAATATTCATAATGGACACGATATTTGGACGGTGACTGTACTTCTGACATTTATCAAGTGTTGTGAACACTTGCGATGATATTTTTTCTTTTTGTAATAATGTATAGATTTTTTATTTATTGTTTACGCCAGGAATAAATTATATTATCTATGCACATCTGCTATTCATGGAAGTGATTTGAATTTATGACGTTATTAAGTATTCTATATTAGAACAGATGTCAAACTATTTGTAAAATATAACACAAAACGAATATTAATTCTAAGAATAAGTATGTATAGAACGCTGAAAGGCCCTATAGAAAAATAAAATGTTGTCAATAAATAAAATGGAAGAATAGTTTTACTCATGCGATGATTAATGTACCCATACAAAAGTTGAATGAAAACATTTTTCACTGAAAACAGATCGTTGTTTGTGTAATGTAAATGACGTAGTTTTACTTATTTATTAATCATAAAGAAGTTACTGTTGGTAACACCATGCATGTACTGTTTCGCATTTTGATGTATCCAACCATTAAAGTGTTAGAACAACTTGTCATTACTTGTTTAAAGATGAAAACAAAATGGTTTTTAACGCAATTTGACATGCCATCTCCAGTGTAGTGGTAATCTGTTATTTAAATGAATTTATTATTATAACATACACACAATTTAAAACATACGACGCCTCTGTGACGCACTTGAATTATTAGATTATTATGTAAAAATGGATCAAAATAATGTCTATAAAGATATTTTTATTTAGTTTTTTTTCGAATCAGGAATGGGTATATATTTAATTCGTTTCAGAAGAAGTAGTGGTTCGTAGATTGCAACATATCTTAATTTTAGCTTGATCTACATAATATTGGTTTTGGGTCAACGTTTTCGGTTACATTGTACCTATTGTATTACAAATAAGGGTCAACCACGAATACATTTGTCGCCTAACATTATAGTTATAAAACAAACTTAAAGTTCTTGTTGGCATCTTGATCAAATATTTTAATATAGGTATACGTTTTCTGAATTCGTAAATACAAGAGCAAAAAGTTTTTATTGCTAAATATTGCCAATGAAAATAATGGATGAATATTGCCATTTTATTTTATTCTCACCAATAAAATAAAATGGTCATTAATTACGTTTTTGTAATCGTGATTAATGATTTAAATTGCTTATAGATTGCTACCTATTAGTGTTGTCGTGTGCAAAAAATTACGCATTTAACCATAGTTAAATACCGACTGCAAAATAACTGTAATTTTATATAAGGCGTTTTTTCGAGGTATAAAATCATCCAATGTCTGGTGGGGAGAAATTGTCTGACTCTTACTGACTAAAATCTAACCTTGTTCCTTCTGCTCCGAGCGAGGCCGCGGTACATCATCCCGGCTGGAATTTTGCATTGGGCTTCAAATTTAAATTGAAATCTTATGTTTAGATAAAGGCTCGTGCTATATACGGATTTCAGATCAAAACGAGATTAAATTTAATTTAATCTTATTAAATTCATTTACAACAGTACTCGTCTGCTAAGGAAATAAATTAATTTTAGTATACATACATACGTATAATAAGCAAAACGCACTCCGCGAAAGCAGCTTTCATTCATGACCGTGTCACTCATTCCCTTCAGTACAGTCGATGGCAGCGTTTATTTAATGTACCGAGAGCAAAATTATATTCGAATTTATTTATTATTTTATATTTAGAATATGCTTGAAATCGGTTATGTGCGTGCTTTAATGATTTCAATGCAGATTTAATCTGTTTCGAAATGTTGACGACTTTTTTGTTTGTTCGTTTTGATTTTTTCTATCGTGCTTAAGACTGCACATGATTTTAGCATATGAGTTAGTCAAAATCAAAGTCAACAACATTTTATACGATAAAAACAAAACAGGTACTTTTGATGATGTTTATTAGTAATTAGTGAATAATCGTCATCTTTATACCAACAGACTAGTAGCGAGATGGCCAGTTTCAAGTTAAACAGATACGTTAAACTTTATCAAGATCATATTGCCAAAATCAATCTTCAATCACGTTATATGTCAAAATCTTTGCCAAGATACAAGTTTACAGGCAGTGGAAGTTAGCCAAATATTTGTACATAATAATAAGTTAAGCAAATAAACAATTTTGCTCTCACGTGTACAAATTATTAGCAACTTTTATGTCATAAAACACATAATGCATTTCTATTAAGCAAATTTATTGTCTCTTGAACATAACATAGCTTTCGAATGAGAAATTGTCTTTGAAATTAAGTCATCTAATATGCTTAGGCAATATCGTATTAGGAATCATTGAACCGTAAGATTCAATTTCCTTTGTACACTTTACGACTATATGGTCGGTTATTGCTTATCAAAATCTAATGTAATTAATTATTGCATCGTATTTGAAATTATAAGATCTTAGCGAAATTGTTAAAATATGTAGGATTTATTTAGGTCTTAGCGTAGGTGTGGGCATATAACACCTACGCTAAGACCTAAATAAATCCTACATATTTTAGGGAGGATGTTCAGCCGGGGTTGCAGGGTAAGCGCAATGAGGCACCGCGCCCTCGGCCCAGAGCAGGAGAAGGAACAGGGAGGGTGTTTAGTCAGTAAGAGTCTGACACTCTCTCGCCATACCTTGAGTAAGAGACGTCATTTATTTGAATAAAAGGTATAACACCTTTTTTGTGGAAGAAAAATCTATCTATAATTATGTTTTCAATAAAGTTGGTAGATATACTCATTAAATCTTTATTCTTTATGAGTTATTTATGGGCTCTTCTCATGAATGTTGTTTTGTTTAATTATATTTATTTCTTTATAATATATGCGAAGCCTTGTTGACTCAAGTGTAAGCTTTAAAAAGCGACGCGGTCATTACCACCCGTTAATATTATGCCTAAATCTAATATTAAATTGACTCACGATTTAATCTGACCTTGTACACTGGTTATTTATTTATTTACTAAAATACCTTAAATATTTGTAGAATACTCCTTATATGATTCATAGAAGTATTTGTTCACATAAATGGATGTTTGTCACTATTGAACTCGAAAAGTGCTGAAGCGTTTTCGGTGGAATTTCTGTCTTGTATTTTTACCCTAGTTCATCATCATCGTCAAAGGTCTCTCGAATGATACGTCATTATAGTTTGATCTTCAGTTTTAGTCATCTAACCCTTGTCAGGCACCTTAAGGATATCTTCTAGCTGGAAGGCCTCCTATGCTAGGTTTGACGACATACGGTCTGCACTCCAAAACAGCGGTCATCGGTTCTTGGATAAATATGACCTGGCCCCCTGACACTTGAGTTTCCCAACTCTTTGGGCTATGTCGAGAACATTAGTGCTCTGTCGAATCACTTCATTACCGTAGTATAGTCATATGAACTTTTTTTTGTTTGATTCATATAATTATATATATATAACAACAGTGAAATATTTATGTTTGTTTTCTTCATAAGTATGAAAGCAATTAACGAAATATATGTCAATGAGGTTTTATCTGTATAAATTGTTGCGCGTTGACACGTGCGCCTGTGCATACATATACGTATATATGTATGTACTTATAGCGATTAACAAAACGTGTATTAAGTGCTGAAATATTTGCGTAATACATTATAACTTTTTTGTTAAGTGACGTGTTAGTAAAGGTTGGCAACACCAAAAAATATATCTCTCTCTCTCTCTCTCTCTCTTTCTCTCAAGTTTAACTCTGTGGTATAAGAGCATAACGATGAAAATTTAAAAATGGAAGTTGTCAAGTATTTTTTGATTCACATAATTACGGAAGCTGTTAAGTCCAGTAAAAACTAAAGTACTCGTTAATATTTTTCTAACGTTTTACGTCATTGTTTTTCATTGTTAAAGAACCATTGACTGTGACTCCGACTACTTATGCAAAAAACGTTGAGAATCTCCATGTTCTTATTTTAAAATGATTATGTTTTTGAACATTTTTACAATAATGCATTCGTTTGGCAGGCAGTTCGCCACGTCAATAATGCTACGTAGCTTCTTAAAAAATCTACGTATTTCTCTTCATTCTCAATTTCTATCAAGGTTTTTGGAAACCTTGCTCTACTCTTACCGCTAAACAGTCTATCCTATCTCTTCAAGTATGCAATAGCCTTTCGTCTATGTCACCGTATACAAGTTTAAAACGTAATTAAACTTTCAATTTTAATTGTCATTGAATAACGTCATACAGTATACGGCTAGCGAATAACACGTGTTTTGTGCATTGAAACACTCGAATTTCCGATAAGAGACCGTAAAATTAAAGGTTTGTAATTAATGACTGACTCAATCCAATACATTACTTTCCTCATACGTAGTCTTAATAACATTTGTCTATAGAATGAAAATATTATTGAAATAAGTAAGATCCGAAGACTTTAAGACGTAATCATATGTTTTTAGAAAATAAAATGATATGAATGATCTTGCATCACTATTTTATCTTTGTTACGTATATGTCAATAATAACAGAAGCTTCGTAAAGTGAAGTTGTATGATAGGACCAGTCCGCTTTGGTCCTTCGGTACAAGTGTACTTGAAATCTGCGGATCACTTAAATATTCTTATAAAAACTTAGTTTAATTTTGCTTTTACTTATATAAAGACGTTAAGATGGTTATTTCCACTAGTTACAACATTGATTGTCGTGTGTTAAGATAATCAATAATTTTACCTTCGAAATCGTGATATGATAATCAACTCGTAAGCATGTGATAAGAACAAAATCACAGCTATCATAATATTATTCTTTTTATCACAGTTAAAACCGGACCGTTTACCTTGCAAGTCTATTATTAAAAGACGATTAATGTTGTGAATTTTTTGCTTTGCTTTTTAGTTTAGTGTGTTGAATGTTAAACCGGATTTGAAATCGTTGTATGTGTACTATTGTGGACTATTGTTTTGTGCTGATTTTACTCGCGTATACACGTTTTGTGGTTGTTTAAAATTTCAGGTGAGATGTTTTCTTTATTGGTAAAGTCATGCTTTTCCAATCTTCTAGGTAATTGTCATCTGTATTAGACTGATTTTGTTGGCTTAATTTGCTTTAATTTGTACCTTATGTGATATGAGTTCCTTCTGTTTGGTACTTTCTTAATTTTCATTTGTTTTTGTAGTTTCATACTTTCCATCATGTGTATCAATAAGGATATCTTGTATCTCAGAACTGATTTTAAAATCTTCTTCTATCCTTATAATCTTTACAATATGTGTTACTGGGAAATCAACGATATGGAACATTTACTTTGTGATAGCGTGCATTAAAATTAATAGGTACTAAGCAATGACTGGTATTATAAAGATTATGATAAGTAAGTCTGCCATTCATATAATTTGTCACTTTTATATTAAGTATGTCTGTGGAATTTCTACATAGTCACTATTGAATTCTGCGTCTATATACATATAATGTTTATCCATTACTTTTACTTTGACTAGACCAAAAAACAGCTTGAATGTGGTCGTCCAAATTGTTCCAAGTACACAAATTGTAAATTTTCTTTTTTATTTTCTTCTTTCATCTTAATTAGGATCAGTGTAATGTGCCTTCTCCCATTTTTACCCTAATGTCGTCATCATATTCCAATACCTTTTTGGTTATGATTATCTTCACACTAAACATTCGTGTGTCCTCTTCCGTGCCTTCTACATTTAAATACGCTTTAATTTTGGTTTTAATAATAAGTCACGTTATGTGTATGTTGGTACAAATTCAGATGGTCACAATACAACTGTGCAAATTCTGTACATCTTTTAAACAGAACTGTTCCTCATTGCTCGATTAATATGTGATCGAGTAATTAAGATAAAATGAACGTTGTTCTTACTGTATAGCAATTGGTATGCGGTCATCAACTTGTGATCCTTAGACACAGTAATTCTACTTTATCAATGCAATCGGTCCCCAAGATAATTTTAACGATGCCATTTATGCTTCTGATTACTACTTCAAACGGACCACTGTTTTATTTCGCTTATCTGTAATCAATGGAGCATTTATATATGGCTAGCTTGATAGACAAAGTTAGCAAAAACAAGCAGCCTTATACTTATTTTGTAAGAAAGAGTTTGGGTCGATTAGTGTGTTGTAAAAAGTTGAAGTGAAAATAAACGTGGTCAGTTACTGTATTGTGCACTCGTTAAGTGTTAAACGAAACAAATATTTTAGTATTGTAAATGGGTTACAATGTAACGGTAGACACTGGCTGTTTTTATAAGCAAGCTGCTCTTTAGCATTCATGAGTCGAACGGCTGCGTTGTCTCGCGATTCTATCATTCTTGTAATTCATGTTTACAACGGTAATTAGTGTTTAAATTAAATTGATGATATTGTATATGTTTATCTCTTGTTCATCATCGAATTTTGTACATGAACTCAAGTCAAAATTAAGGAAAAAGATCGATTGGTTTTGTGTACTTTTGATTTACACTAATTCGGAGTCATTTAATATCATCACCATACAGCAATATTCGGTATATTCTGGCCAATATTGTGTTTTCCTTAAACATTACATATGTAACTACTTGCCTACTTAATTTCAGTACATGACCAAGTTAGAACAACAGGTTCTACATTTTTTGCTGTTTACACATCGGCCCTGGTGTAGTACCTATAACGAATAATAACCAAACTGGTCTTAACTTCGTTAAATAGTTTAGTCTGTCGCCAAGGTTGGTATCAATTGTTGGTAATGAATCGCCAATTGTTGCCAACGAAGCGTGCATTTCCTTGCGATTATGTACCTCTTATTGCAAGTAAGTTTGACTTCTCAGCAAGAGAGCGCTTGGGGTCTATATCCCAGCTTCAGGAAATTTCTAGTATTTGGAAATATTGTTTAATATTATGGAGCTTGGAATTAGGGTTGGTGTCTCAATCAACTGGTCAAATAAGCCCATTCAATCAATCAGCTAGCTCTTTGATCACAGTACAATTTGAGAAGTTGTTTATTGGCGCTGGCGTTGCGATTATTATGCGGTTCACAATTCTAACCTAAGCTAACCCACTATTCTGGTAGCAACGCGGTTTTCCTGACAATCCCCTAACCCTTCAACTACAAATGACTAGTCATTCAGAACGTTGTTTCGATGGCTCATTCAACAGTCGATGGCTGTGACGTATCTATGCCAACTGCTTAAATCGGCGCATAACAGACAGTCAGTATTATATCTGATATGTCGGTTATACACTCCTGCATATGCTTTAAATCCATATTTTTATAAATGGTTGGCGAGCAGGTTTTGCAGTCGTTTTTGTACCGCGCAAGTCGCAACATCTTGCGGTTTCGATACTAGCACAGACCAACTCTGTGCTATTGCTGCAGCATTGTTGTTGTTCCGGGTTTGGATGGGATGTGTATGTGAAATTACATGTTTATAAGCAACCACGATGTAGGAGAAAATCCTGGTGTAGGGCAACGTTTTTTTAAATATTAATCTTTAGTAGTTCTTAGTTTTGCTATGAGGAGGGTGAGACAAGATGAGAATGGAAATCACAGATTCCGGTTGTCAGTGGACATTGAGGTCGGTGTGCTGTTTTCCTTTTAAGATATAGGAGCTACCTATGTACTACTTACTGCGACGGCCATATTACCGTGCCACAGAGTAAAAACTCATGTGCACTGACCTCCTTACTGATCTCGCTAAAGATTATCTCTTCCCATTAACGTTTCTAACAATCTATGGTATTTTTAAATATAATTATTTAAGCCAGTTTTTACGGATGTTGTAAATATTTTTATCATAATATTTGCTTTTCTATATTTTAATATTTTTTTCTTGTTATGGCTCTACAATAAGCGTGAAGCGTGATAATGTTAACAGAAAAACGCACACTTTCCGTAATTTTGCTACTTATATTATTATTTATTTATACATGGCCGAGCCCAAATCTTTTCGATTTATATAATATCTTTCGATGGAATCTAATTAATTAATTTTAATGGTTTGATATAATATATGTAGATATAAATCTAATCTTAAGCTATACAATATCCGTACTGATAAATTGTAATTGCAATCCTGGTTGCGATAACTTACTGTACCTATTAGGTATCATGCTCATACAGTTATTGGGAATTGTTTCAATATGGTATGTTCGTCCATCTGTGGTAGTCTATTGTCCCTTTGAGGAATTGGGCCTCATCTGTGGTGTGGTCTATTGACTCTGTACAGAATACAGTTGAAAGTATGCACATAAGTAGATATTCTTGACATTTGTCCTTTTGATAGCCTTAGCACACTAACACTTGGAATTTAAAGTAACACAATACATGTTTTTTTCCCTCGATTTGTTTCGTTATAAATATTGAAATACAAGCGGCCCGCCCTGCTTTGCACGGGTGTCGTCGGTTCTTCGGTTCGTCAGTGACAGTCATTTGTTTTGTTAGCGAATCAGTATGGCACCGTAAGATTTCTCGATTTTCCTCTCCACTTTTCTAATTTTTATCTAGCTACTCTCCATTTATAGCCTATAGCACTCGGGACCAACCTTGCTATCTATCATTTAAATAAATTTGGGAATCGGATAAGCGGTTCCAAAGATTACCCCCTACGTACTACAATTAACAAATTTTACCTTTGAATAATGTTAGTTTTTAATATGCGATTAAAATGCCTTCAAGGAAACCTGACCTTTCGGAAAGTACAAGCGTAGTAAATACTGAAAAATCTTCCTTGGTGTTGTGTTTCAGTTCAGCATAATAGAAAATAAATTATCTACAAACAATAATCGCTATGGTAACACACAATGTCGCGTTTAAGTAGCAGTTAATGTGCCATGCTATTGTGCATTATAACAACAATACGTTTATAATATCGTACACAGTCGTACAGCCTTCATGATCCGCTTACTTTAGGGAAAACCCATACCATAATATTAAACACTATACACCTACATAGGTACCTATCCTGTATAAGTATGTATACATTCTGTTTCGGCGTGTTTTGATTTGTTAGATACTAAGTACCATCTTTGTTATGACTTTCATGAGAGATTTTGAATTAGTTATAATGTGCTTCGGCACGACCGGAGTGATACCACGGCCTCACTGAAATCAGGCGTAAAACAACCACAACGTTGTGCTTCGCCGTGTGAGTGAGGCGGCCGGCGGCCCTTTTCTTACGAACCCCCAATCCATAAATCCCCAAAACCCTGATACGCCAGAAGGTCGGCAACGCACTCGTAACTGTTCCGTTGTTGCGGGTGTCCATGGCGGCGCTTATTGCTTACCATCAGGTAATCTTCCAGCTGGTTTGCCGTCCTGCCACATAAATAAAAATGTTGACGGTTTATTCACGTGACTTGTGTAAGCTGCGCGACGATCGCAACGTTGTGTCGCGTAATGCCGCACATTGAAACAAACCGAGTTGCTCGTCCAAACAGGAGTAAGCCGTTTAGTACTAAAATAATTGGTATTAAGTACCAGTTGTCAAAATAGCAGGTCAGATATAAAAGCGTAAATACTTCCTTATCTCTCAAACAACATAAGGTGGAAAGGTTTCAAGGTGATGGACTTTGAAATTTATTTATAAAGAATACCTGCGTAATTTTGAACGTTAAATTAAAAAAAAACCTTAGAACTTAAGGTAAATGTGATCCTAAATATGCTAATATTTAAAGAGGTACCTACTGTGTTCCAATTTGTTTTCAATTAAAGAATAATTCATTTTAATCATATATTAACCTCGATCGTGGCAATTCGAGAAACAATAGAAGAACAATAAGATATGCGAACGCAGGCGTTCGCTTGGGTTTGATGAATTTTGTAGGTAGTATCTAAGAAAATTGGTTAGGTATTGCTTGGCTCATTCAATAAACTTCGAAAACAAACTGGCATTCTAACATTATAGCGGCGTACGAAGCAAGGTTGTGTTACATTTTTGTTATTGAACGCATACTAAACATTGGCAGTGAAAACGTATGGAGAGGTCGACGGCTTTTTGTGGCCTAGAGTT